ACCGATAGGGGAACAGCCATCCACCACTTATTTTCTCTGTCTCTAAGGACGATAATTGTTTTCTACGAGGCTACTGAATCTGGTCTTTTACCAAGTATTTTTGTGCTACTTCCAGACAATGCAATACTGTCACTCCGGGGGGAATTTAGTCCTCCATTGAATCACCAGAAATTGCCCAGTCTCCAGACGCTGGAGGTGCGCGGAAATAAACTGACCACTACCGAGGGCCTTACCTATCTGCCAAAAGTTACCACGCTGTATGCTGCTGCGAATATGATCACGTCTCTGGACAACATTAGCTACATGACTAGTCTCGTTCGACTTCATCTTCGCGACAATCACATCAAGAAGCTTGATTGGTTTAACAGTGACCTAGTGAACCTGGAATACTTGAATTTGCGGTAAGTATTGCTTTTACATTCTCTACGTATAGTTTCCCACCCGAGAAGACTACAAATTGATCAGTTGAATGCGTTTCGCCGGAAACTAATGCAGTTCACATTGTAGTCCGTTTTTTTGTTAAACATTGACGCACTCGTAGTCCAGGACATTTTAAAACTACCGGGAAGGGGCGGGTTAGCAGGCTTGAAATAGGCTTCTTAGTATCAAGCTTTGATTGCAATAAAGTTGATCTACTGGCTAAGATACACCTGCCGTTGCTTTTACGTTTATTATTTTTTTTTAAATTTTAGTTTATCAATTTAGTTTTTAATTTAAGTTTAGTTTAGTTTTCAGTTTAGTTAGGTACGCCAAAGTTAGATAAATTTGAATAAATAGCTACTATATACTAAACTAAATTAAGTAAACCAAGCTAAACTTAACAAAACTAACTAAACTAAAATCTAAACTACACTAAAACTAAAAGTATACCAATAAACCAAATAATAAACTAAAAACCAAAGTAAACTCATATCAACGGTTCTGTAAGCCAGAAGGCTGGGTCTTGGGATATCTAAGGTGATGGAAAAACTGTATTGTTACCGAAGCCTTCTCCTGGGAGGTTCGATAAATAGGCCCAGAACTCGAACCCAGGCCATCTATATACAGTTTCCTTTCTTTTAGGAAGCAGTACAACAAGGATAATTGACAGGAGTTCATTTGGGACATTATAATTTCTATTTTCATATATTTTAAATCTTTGGAAAATCCATAATTGCAGTTACGCATTTAGTTGGAACCCAAACTTCTAAATATTGTCCATTTATATCATCCTGAATGACGTCTGAAGTTATAGTTAGTTATTTTTCCAACCTCCACAAAAAGGTAATTCTAGTTGACCCACTTCTAGCGAATGTTTAGGAAGTTATTTCATCAAGTTTTCTTTCCAAGCACCTTTTTAATTAAGGCCAAGTGTTAGTTGCCGGATGATCCCTGGGTCTCTACAACAAAAAGGCTTTAAAATGTATTTTCTTTTGAATAGTCCAACTGTTTAACGCATGGCGTGTTTCCCTCCAACGGATGTGGGTACTCCCATAGACAAGAGTTAATGATTGCACGCTGATCTACAGATTGGGTCGGTCTAGAGGATTAGAAGTCGCCAGAGTGACATCGTAAACGAACAAGAAAAGCATGCAGAGTTGGAACTGCAAATAATGGCCATTAAAATACACTAAGAAAGCCGCTCTCGATTTTGAATGGGTTCTTCGGAGAATGATAGGCGCTCCCGTGAAGTTCTACAACAGAATGACCACATGCGAAAAATAAATGGTTTCTAAGCGCATATTTGTAAGGCAAGCTTAAAGTGCTGCGTGATAGCACTCCGTGCTGTAAGTTCACCCCACGGCAGTTCGATCGTCGATTTCGACAATGTCCATCGTATGCTCCGCTGCAAATTTATGCAAATTAGTTTCAAGTGATCGCAGACTTGCGCCGCATCTACTGCACTTTCCCTTCTCTAACCCATTTGAGCCCAGTATCAAGACAGAATCAAGAAGACCAGAATCGGGAGCGGGCGCAGAGGGCTGGCGCGACCGAAGCTCTCCCTATGCATGCCACCACGCACCCCCTTTTCCCTCCATCTTCGGTCCGCAACCCGAATAACG